CACACACACACACACACACACACACACACACAGATACGTACACATTAGAGGCAGAACGGAAAACAGAACACTTTGAACTGCTGTTGCTGTTGCTGCTGCAAAACCAAAAATAATAATCAATGCAAAACGCTAAAAACTTTTCACATTACACTTCGAGCCACCGTTCCTTAACATACACACAAACACACAAACACACACACACACACACACACACACATACATACACCGATACATACATACAAATGTATACACAAACACATACACACATACACACACATACCAAAATACGGACATATCGACAAACGGACACACAACGATACATACACACATATCACACCGACAGATACATACATATGCTTCTTCAAACTTAAAACAACAAAAATCCTTCTCCTCTAACTTTAAAAGAAAAAAAAAGGGTTTTAACGGTTAAACGGCTTGGGAGAAACTGGGGGAAACCAAATGAAGAGGAAATGAAGAAGGAGGAGTAAAGAAGAAGGAGAAAAATGGAAAAAAGAATAGGAACACGACCATAATGACGACAGTGACAGGCAACTAAAAAATTTATATTCATCTTCAAAAATCCTAAAGTTTTTTAGCATTAAACCAAGTGAACAATATTTGAACCTAAAAGAGCATGAAGAGAAAAAATATGATCAAAAAATAACGTAAAGTAGAAGTGAAAAACTCAACACTGCTTACAGAATGTTCAATTTAAAAATTCTGCAGTTTTACTTATAGCATTATCAGAAAAACAAGAAAATACTTTAAAAAGCAAAAAAATTAGAAAAAAAACTCAAACACACAGAAATATATGCATGCAAACTGATCGGTTGCTGACAGGAGGTGCTGGGGGAGGGGAAGGCAGTAGAGGACGGGGAAGTAAGAAAATGGGGAGAGGCAACCGGGTGGAGTGCAACAGAACGGTTAAAAAAATTTGTTCATATGTAAGTAATCGTTCAGTTTTTCGCGCACTATGAAATTTGTCATTGATGTATGTCGGCCAATAGCAGGAGAACAAAAAAGAAAAAAAAAAGGAAAAAAAAAACAAACGAAGAAAATGGTAGGAAGAAAAAAATGTAATACTGAGGAAAAACCAACTACAACAACAATAATAACCTATAACAGAAACAATGTTTATACAAAAATAAATATATAAAAATAAATGCTTTCTTTCAATATAAAACCAATATTTAATAAAAGCTTTCGGCTATAAACAAGCCTTCATTTTACCTGCTATAACAAAAAGTGAAATTAAAAAAAATCATAACAATTAAAACAAATAATATAAATATAAAAGTGAAAGAAGCAAAAAATAAGTTAAATGCAGCGCAACCAACTGATAATATTTCCAACAAACCAACTAATTTTGAAGCAATTGAACGTTGTTGTATCGTCATCAGCAATATTACTATCACCACCATTACCACCATCATTGTCTTCATCATCTTGATCATCATCATTAACGTCAAAATCATCAATATCATCACCAATCATAATCATCATAAACATCATCACAAACATCATCATCATCATCATCATCTTCATCATCATCATCATC